TAAAAGTTACACAACCCAAAAGGGTTCTACAATTTAGAAAGTTGCCATGGTTGCATTCTCTAAGAATTTATGGCAGCAAAACGTCACATAACATGAACAGAAAGTACTGAAAGACAGTGTGCAGTCTCTGAGGCATGTGTTGCGATGAGCTGCGACGGAGCAAGAGGATAACCAATGTCAAGCAAATGCAAAGGACAAAATACAACGTTGAGGCGATCATGGGTGTCCTGTACAGATGTGGACTGTTAATTTGTCCTAGTTATTTCAAAAATCAACCTAAAACACACCAGAATCTACTTCATTAAATGACAAAAGCTAAATTAAAGGAATTGCAAATATGTTTTATCTTACTATCAATAATTCTACTAAGTTTAATCAAGTGAAGGATTAAGTTACTCTACTCATGAATGGCCTTTAGGAATGCGTCATGTCAAAAAAACACCCAAGAATATTGATTAAAAATTAATAACAACTAGTCGAATAGTAGTGTTAAGCAGGCTTTTGCCAAAAACGTTCAAAAGTTGCTAACATATTTGCAGCAACCGATGCTCGAATGATCTGATTCATTACACCTCCTCGATGTTCCACCACCTAAAGATAAAAAATTCTTGTGATTAAATTTGACAATCTTAAAAGCATTGGCGGCGATTCCAGCATTTCGAATTTTCGGCTACACACGACTTTAGTCCTACGCTGTGCACAATAATCCCACTCCATCTCTAGTCTTTCGGATCGGGAAATGGGTATGTCTCCGTTTGAATGGACACTGGAAAGAAGACACCTGCAGAGACCAAGTGATGAGCTAAGGGTGTTTGTTGAGTGTTAGCCCTTGCTCAGAGTTTTGCTGACCACACCTTGTCCGTCGGCGGGAGTACTTCACGATTAACGCTCATTGACATCGAAACTCTGATGGGAGGCATGTTCATCCACGTATTGTGTATGTTTATCTGTTTGGATGCCAATTCTGTGTGGTGAGACGATAAATCGCGGGCCCTAACTTCGGCTCATTCGACAGTGATAAAATTTTGGATTTAATACAATAGGCCATCAGCAAATACGCTTGCGTTCAGTCGTGTTTCGAATCACGTAAATAACAATGAGTATGATGGATACAGCCCAACATCAAGCGGAATTCCGTTGATTGTTAGCACAAAATCCTGGTGGTTCTGAATCGAAAGTGAAGCGAATTTGTAGAGAGACTGTTAATGCGTGGCGATGTTGTATGACGAAGTGTTGAAAACACCAAAACAAGACGATGTGTGCATTTTAATTCCGCCACAATTTACACAAATGCTAAGGAGAAAGCTGATTTGGATCTTTGGCTTACAGACAGGAGAATCTAAATAGGGCATCACATTTGCCGAGAAAGTAGACTTTAAATAGCCCAATTATTTCTTAAAAAATCTGTGAATAGACCATTTTCTACAAATACGCAATGTGCCATGGCATCAAATTCAACCCTTGATAGTAAATATTACAAGGAATTTACTTTAACGTTCGCAAGGTTGAAAACTCAAATAGCTCGATGTTTCGGGTGAACTGTAGGTACAGCTAAAAATGTTGATTTAGCCCCTGCAACGACAGCTTTCCCCGTTGCTGCGTACTTGGATTTAAGGTGTCTAATCTTACGCTCAGCTAATGACCAAAACGGTAACTCGAGTATTTGTCTAGCACGAGATAATCCCTGTGTAAATGGTATACTGCTATTCTTGGTCACAAGGACTGGCACATTTGATTGGTTATCTGTCTTTGTGCTCTTGTCCCTAATTTTAGGTCCTAAATTTCCGTAGTCAATTATAGCAACCCTTTTATGATGACGGCAGTGTGACAGCATAACTTTCAATGGTTGATGGACCCATTTGAACAAACGTCGAAAGAACGCGTAAACACATTCATAGCTTCCAGTAGTTTCGTTTAGCAGACTGTAGATAGTCTAGGACTGAAGACTCCTTAAAACCGACCCAGATGCGCCTTCACCACAGAGAACCACAACTGCTTGTCTGGATGCTCAAATGAGCTGCTCCAGAAACTTTCTCTGAACCAAATTCGAATTTAAAATGCCGCAGAATGTATGAAGAAAGTGAAATTGACTTCTACAACGAGACCTGGCTGTTCACGACGTTCATTTTGAAAAGCTGAGAAAATAAATCCTGGCCATATTCGCACCATGCAAACAGCATTTATCTTAGTTTGCAAGAAATCAATTTGATGGAGCATCCTTCCATAAATGTTCATCTCACTTTCCCCACGCTCAGCTACTAATTTACACGGAATGCCCTCTGCTCTCAATGGTTTGTGGCAACATTCAAATCTGGTCTGACTTAACTCGCACTTAATGGGATTGCAAAACAATTAAGCGTCGAAAAACTGCTGACACATTACCTGCCATAAAAGGAAGTAAGATTGTCAAAAAAATTACCACCAGCATTACCTGGACTTTGAACTTGAATGATGCCATGGCCTAATCATATCAACAACTTCGGGAAGGTAATTTACAATGACTATTAAGAGTTCGCGTCACCAAAAGGTAGCTAAAACGCTAGTGAGAGGCAGGAAATGGTGGCGCGACTGCACAATGTTACACAACTTCGTCGCAAGGGAAGACACTATTAAGAGCGATTGGGCATAATCTGACCCAGTGAAATAAAAGTAAGGTGGTACGATGACAAACACAGTCAAAAGTTAGAAAGGTGTTTAAGACGTGTTGATGCCAAGACACATCTAGGCCTAAACGTTTGTTATTGTGAAAGCTTGTCGGCGTAGCAAGCTCCACAATAGAAGTCTCCTGCCGAGAGAACATCTTCCGTGTTTGGATTTTATATCGATTGTGGTGCGGTTGATTCTCCCCCATAATGACAAAATTTGGAAGAGTTTAGATGTGCAGAAAAAAAGAAAACAAGTCTGCGAGTGTTTTTAGTAAAAACTTGGTTATAAAGCCACATCTACACAGGCGTCATTTTAATCTGCTTTGCACCGGCTTGATGTGTAGGTGGAAACAGCCATTCGCTTCGCTCTGAGTGGGACTTGAAATTGAAATTGTCTTAATACATTGCTAGTAGGGAATGCTGAACAGACACTGAGGTTGTGGATAGTACATGTTGGTCTGTATGAACGCAAAAAGATGTGCTGACACCTTTTTCATCACCAAACCCAGGTTAGGGTTCGAACCAAGCGACAGCTCCAATACCTGGTTGAATGTTCTACAAATACCGAAGAAGTCGCCAATCTTTTACCAGACATTACAAAAGATTATCGCATGGGATTGTTGCGGAATCCATGTGTGTGTGTGTGTGTGCATGTGGATTTAGCAGACATAATCGGGAGCATCAGTGTTTTGATAATGTAGATTGCACCTTACGACTGCGTCTGCTTATTCTACTGGTTTAAAGGGCAGCCTTGACTACGAAAGAATGTTTAGCTGTATCATCGTATGTGTTTAGTGTAATCGGCTGCCTTCAAGCAATGCACCATCAAACACCTCGCTCACTTGCTTTTCAAACCTTATTTACCATTACGTATCGTTTCAAATAAATCACAGAGTTTTTAACAAAGAGCACATTATCAAAGATTTACAGATTTCAAATATAAAACGTAGCGATCCTACAATAGGCGTCAACATCAGAAAAAAATGCAATTGTATAGAAATATGGCAAAATCTCTCGAATTTTGCTGAATTGAGCATTCCAACCCGTGGCACTTTTTTATTAGTGATGGCTAAAGGCCGAAGGGGTGGAATCGGCGTAATTTTCAAAATTTGTTCACAATCGAACGTCGTCAGGAGATAGTTGGCGGTCATCCTGACTCTCTTCCGTGAAAAAAATAAACAACATCTGAAACGAGCAGTTTTATTAACTACAGAATTTAATGAAAAAACTTATCTCACGATTATGTATATATTAAAACCAATGATCGTGGTTTATTAGGAGAAAAAACGCCAACAGAAGTTTGTGCACTTGCGTAAAGGTGCGTGCGTGTATTTCTCTATTAGAGGAGAAAAGCAACTGTGGGTACCAAACCTCATCAATCACTCTGCAGTCGAACTCCTTCGAGGATGATGGCGAACCTTTGGCCCATCAAAACGTGGCGCGCAAACGCGTGCGCAGGTGTGTGCGTGTGCGCGTGTGCGTGCGAAGGGGGCAAGAGGAACACAAACTCGATGGGGCTATCGAAAGCACCAAATGGAAAAAAAGAGCTTTTACTGTCGTTCCCCTGCAACCCTTCCACCTTTATCCCTGCTTGCTTGTCTGATCGGGTTAGCAAGCCTTCAGCTTTTCCTGTAGATTTATTTTTTGCCATTTTACCCGGTCCCGGTGGAAGGGAGTAACTGAAGTTTCAAGTGCTTTACGATTCTGAGCGTAAACTAGCCGATTAGTCGTGAGCACCAAATTCTCACGAACCTGAGAGCCTTGCTAGCGGCGAGTTGAAGGATGCGATAAGTTCATTGACCAACGTGACATACACCTGATCGACTCTAAATGACTCAAAAAGTCGAAACAATGAGTGGCTGGACCCAAGGCGCCATATCTACCGCCATTCAAATCAAGTGTAAATATCCAACACAGCAAGATTTTATTGGCCAATGGGATTTTTTGAAGAGCGGTCATTATCCATTCACAGAAAAACAGGGAAAAGTAGAGGAAGGAAGATGCGAAGTGACTGGGCGCCTGTTAAAACGCCCAAACGCAGACTCCGTAGTGAGGGTTCTTGCGCGACCTTCATGTCTTATGACTACCAGAAGTTCAGGGTTCATATCGCTGGTAATTGAGTGAATCCGAGCAAGTTTTAGTTACGTGGAATTAAGTCTGGAGATTTTTAGACAAAATGGTGGCAAACCGTTGATTGCGATTGGCTATTCATAACTTCATGATAGTTGTAAAAATTTCAATCATACAGGACACGTGGTTAGTCATGTACAGCGCACAGTGACACTAACAATTAAATGTGTAGATTGGATAAAAAGTTGCGTTAAATTATTTAGCAGTTTAATTTGACGCAGAAATTTAACTCACAAACACCACCTGGCTGGAGTCGTCCACAGATGTGCTCCGCTGACTTTCGCCTCCGTTGGCACTGTGTCCATCGCCACTTCCAGCGTTACCAGTCGGCGATCCAAACACAGAAGTGTTCGATGCCACTGCACCATGTGATTCCCAAGGAGGAGTGTAGAAGGCCGAGTTGGAATGTGAGGGAGCGACTGCGGCCGGTGAGGCACTGGATGAGGCCAGCCCGCTGAGAAAACCACCCGTCGTTCCTGGACTGTAGTCGCCCACACCGCCCGCAGAGGGACTGTACACAGGCGAAGAGGAGGAACGCATTGCAGCCATGACTGCAGCGATCGCGGCCGGATAACCCGGAAGAAAGTAGCTCGCGAAACGTGGATCCGTCGGCCACGGCATCTTGAAAACTTCAAGGTAAATTGCAAGGCTTGCAAGACGCAACGATAACCACAGTTAGAAAAAACAAGTCCACAACAATACCAGTTCCATCATTTCCACCTTTGTGTCCGTTTCGTGTCATTTAGAAGTTGGTCATACATCAAGAGACATTCAAACGACGTTTTTGTTGTACACATGGGTCTGCTATTTTGGACAGACAACTCGATTTATGACGTATGAGAAGAATTCGGGGAATGCAGGAGGCGCCAGAGCAGGGATTAGCTGTCCGATGTCTACTCACACAAGCACATGGCTGTGCCATTCCCTTTTACTTAATTAATGAAGACACTACATGAGGAAAATGGCCGTGTGGAAGGCATGACTCGGCGCCCGAGAGCAGCCTCAGTAGTAGCGCACACGTCAATGCGGACGCGTCCACACGACGCCGGCCACCCGACAGGTGCCACGGGACATCACCGATGTTTACGACTTGGGTGAAACAGAAGTAATGACACAAGCTGCTCTTGTCCCACGGAGATTAATAACACACTTTTGTGTGACAGTATCTTCAACGCGATTATTGAAATGCGACGCGACTTTTTCAGTGCACTGAATGTAGATAATTCAGAATTTACCGTAGGCCGGTTCCTCTACGACCGCCTTACTCGCCATTTTAAGGTAGCCTGCATCTGCGGAATGTGGAATTGTGTCATTTTCAGGCCTGACCCCAATCAGTGAATAATTCCAGACTGTCCTATAATTGGCTCACTGACATTAACCCGTTCAACGTAATCATCTCATATGCCTATACGTGTTACACAAATACGCGGTTTAGCAAGTTGGATTAAAAGGTCGTTCTTGGAGACACCATCAATTTCTTTAATATGTGAACACTGATAGCCCTGAAGGAGGCGCATCCGATGGTTAGGCGGCATTGTGCAACATTTGAAAAAAAGAATATTTGTTTCAGTGGATTGAAAATGGGCCCATTACGCAAAAAACGACCGAAACAACGGCTATCAAAAGGCAACGCAGACGCAATTCATGACTTCGCACATTAAAGGCTTCTAAAGCCGTTTGTAATTAAAACCTTCGTAGTTGCTTGGTTCAGAGCACTCAAGGTACTGAATAAGTGAAGACCAGTTCCATGAAATAAAAATAAACCTTAACAGATTTAAGGCACGTGACTTACTAGAGCTCCCATTTCGTCCGAACAAATCAAAGAGTCGCGGAACCTACAAGTACCAAAACTGTGGTTAAGTGAATATGCGATTGACAAGCGTTTTGAATAGGCTCATTTCAAGTCATACGACAAAGGGAAGGATTTGAATAACAAATTAGCATTATTTCTTAAACTAGCTTATTTATATAACTGCCAAAGTCCGATCAGTGCTATGTCCGATGTGTGCGAATACATTTGGGGACGCTAGAAAAGAACCTGCTGGCGAAACACTGTCGAAAATGAAGGGCTCGCTTACTTGCAAAGATCATGGCTTATCGAGACGTGGCTCTCTCTGCTTTCACGCTAATTAAGGTCAATAGAACCCGATGACAAAAGGGGTGATGCGGTGCTTACAATCGTTTATTCACTCACATGACACTCAAACTTATTGGTGGCTTTCATTCGTCAATCGGACACTCAAATGCTTAACAACAACCCGGCTTGGCAAGGTGCGATGCCACCGCCTGCCCCAGGTGCCTTACGTTTTGGATAATTTCTTTTTTTCCGTTTCTAGTTGAACTGGTCGCCATATGCGAGTGGGCTTAGTGGCATTACAGTGTGCTGTAGACTAATCTGACAAAAGCCAGCCACTCCGCACTGACTCGGCACCAGCTTAGTTAAGATGATTTAATCCATTCCATCACGCTCTTAATTGCCCCTTGTTGACATGCTAGCCGACCCACTGGTGGATGCGTTTCAAACTCGCACTAGAGTTAAGGTAAAACATAAACCCTTGGTCCTTAACTCCATCAATTAATATTTATCAGGCAATACGATTTGCCAAATACTCCTTAAAACATCTAAGCTTAAATTTAAAGCAGTCAACACGTGATATCCATGTTTTAACTGAATATATTTGCCATAGCACGAGCAGCAGTTTATGCTTAGGCATACGTAAAACACTACACCGTTTGCTTATCACGGGTATTGCGGAACTGTTTTAGTGCAATAGAAGAACTCCGGATGAAACGAATTCTAATTCTGAGGATGCTTGCACTCAATAGCTAAACGGAACAAAGCTCCAAAACGAAAAGTTAAAATCACTAAATCTGAGATGTGCAGATCTAAAATTATTTTTTTACTTTTGTGCTAGGAAAAAGTTTTCTCTTCCACTATCCACTGGAGCTACAGGAACGCGAGGAATTGTGAAAAACTATATGTCTGACCCAAAACTCCAATCTGATTGGCTGGAGCGGACACTTTTTCTGCCATACTCAAACAAACAAAACTCTGAGAAAGAAGCACAGGGCAAAAAGAAGTTTTCTCCAGGTCGATTACTATTGAGAAGTTTCATTAAAAGCGAAGAACTACTATTATCCAAGGTTAGTCGACAGTAAACTGAGGGGTGACAAAGGGGAACATTTTAAACGGACAGGAATACAGGATACACTAAGTCCATCTATGTAAAAGGCATAAAGAAGACTAGATTGGCTTTCAGTTGAGTCACACATCTGAAATGATGGTTGTCAGAAAAACCTCTAAAAATTTATATTGATAAAGCCAAACCTGGGAATTGATTGGTCTGAGCCACTATATAATGCCAAGTTAAGGTGTATGGGTGAGGGCAGTGACTGCACTTACTGACAGCACTTTTCTACCTCCTTTTGATAACACCTAAATTAGATTAGCCTCTAAGAAAATCGTTGAACACGTAACTGAGCCGGGCTAACCAATGACCTTGGTCTCCGGAGTTTACCCAGACCTCAATACAACACACCTTATTTGAGCTTGCGCTTCTGGTGTCTTGAAAACGTTGTGCATGCAGCAAGGCAATCTTATTGGGGAGTCTGTCTAGCCTTGAGTAACTTTTAGTTAATCAGCTGTCATTGATACTTTCTTGAACTTTAACAGAGCAGCAATCTCTGTTAACCGGTTACAGCTCATACACACCCTATGGGTGAAGACAGTCGAATGAGTACTGAGTCTGCCAGGACATGACAACGCAAAATACTCTAATCAGCATGTCTTTGCGAGATGTAAATGCGCACTTGAGAAATATTTTGAGATTAATCACTGCACAAAACTATAGTTCATTTATGAAATACACTGTAGTACATTACTAAGCTAATTGAGAGATAGTGCACAAACTGAGCAACCAGCCAGAAGAGCAGAATCCACTGTAACCGAGAATCTGACTATTAAATGAACCAAATTCTGATGCTTTATCAAATGTTGGTATTCTAGCCCAGTGAGTGCTCTTGTGAGCCTACGACGGCTGGATCAGTAAGTGGCCCGCTACCTGAGCTTCTCTTTAATCCCATGTAAGTTAACGATACAAATGGGCTACAACGTTGGAAAACAGAAAATGTTTCATTTCTTGCTAATTGCTTGTTGAATAAGCCAAACCAGATACCTTTGAGGATTGTATTTCCGGTAGCCCTTGGGGCAAGCAAGGAGTTAAATGGAGTAAGAAGTGATGTTACTTTCAATTTTTCTCGTGACAAGACAAGAAAAAAAGACTGGCTTGTTGGATGAATAAGCGGTAGGAGAGGGGATGATGCTCATGACTCATCGTCCCTGTCAGTCCTTCCAACGGTACCCCAATCCCCACGAGTACGTTTTATTGATTTTTATTTCAGTCTTGACTAATAACTTGCACGATTTGGGATTTGCGAGAAATGTTAACACAGTCGATAACCACTCAGATCTACGTAATTGCGACGTTCCGAAGGTCACCCAAGAAAATCTGGTTTGTGGGGTCAAGCGTGCCTCGATGGACTGAATAAAGACGGCGTTTGTGTAGTGCTAAGCTCTAAGGCGGTGAGACGACAGGCGTTTTACATAGCAACGGATCAGACGCTTTTGTTGCTCACTCAATACTACTTATAAACCAATTCAAATACGAGATGTTTAAGAATGGTAATCGACGCTTGCGCCAACCTAAGGGATGGGAAACGGTGCTTCGTGGGGCCAACTTTAGCTATTCCCATTTGCTCAAACAGAATAGAGAACTGCAACATGCGTTAAAGTTCACGCAAAAATATTGTATGTCACGACTGGCAGCCAGGCAGTAAATCCCTAGAATAATCCATGTTAATGAAAAAAGCAGTCAAATCTTTTGCCCGAGTTTAAGACACAAATTTCAATCTACTTCGAATTCCCATCGGGTACTCTTGGTCAGTTGATTACACAAAATGTACAAGAAATTTGATGTAAGTGGTCACGGTGGAATGAAGGCCCCAAGAAAATGACTTTATCAAAACAAAGAGTGAAACAGCCCTATTTAAGCTGCAAATACTGGCTTATTTTTACTGGTCAGGAAACTCATCAGCGTAAATAAGCACGATGCCCTGTGTGAAAGCATCTTGCAGTTACTCTGTCGATGTGGGATTCTCCCACAAAATCAAAAACCAGGCAACTCATTGAAAAGATCAATGACAAAAAGCCTTGGAAACTTCGATCCAGTTTTGTTGGGTAATAATGGAGTTACGCATATGTTGGTTCGACCTAGTCGCCTCAATGTAAAACATATCTTTCGCACGCAGAAGAATACCTTGATGGCTTGTTTGAGCTGTGTTATCTACCATAAATAAAACCATATGGGTCGAGTACCATTGATGACCACGATAAATCGGTTGTAATGAAACTGAACACTTGGGGTTTTCGTATGTCTGGAGCACCAGTTTCTTGGAGGATAGAACACAACAATGTTAGACCCAATAATTAATGTTTAGGTGGGCTGTCATTGACAATTTGTGCATGAATTCTGAATCGAGCTGAAGGTTCTCAGAGCTTGGCTACAGGAAGGTACATCAAGTGGTACTTTACATGCATTTGCCAGTATAGATGCATGGCCAGC